AGGGGGGGATGGAGAGCTTTGTCCAGCAGAAGATCCAGACGTTTCTTGAGGGGGCGCGGATCGCACCCTGGGATTCGCTTGTCCACGAAGAGGTGGAAAGTCCTCTGTCCTGAAAGCCGGGGCCTTATCCTTCCTTCGTGCTGGTTGATTGTTGGTGGACGCTTGATTTCGGATGCGCTTGAAATCCTCGCGTTTAGGGCACTGCTTGTTGGATCCTTGGTGAGCACCACCACAGTTGGCGCATTTGGACGCCACAGCTTCATCCGCAGCACATTCGGAGGTGGCATGGTCTTGAGCGCAATTTCCGCAGCGTGGATTAATGTTGCAGTTGCGGGTACCGTGTCCGAAGTTCAGACACCGCTGGCACTGAGTCACATCGCGATGGCCGCCACGGTATGGCTCCCAGCGAACGATGATGGAATTGATGGACCGGATGGCTTTCAGTGCGTTGAGCGTCACCGTTCCCTTCTGGAAGTGTACCAGGAAAAGGCTATCCGGATACGCCTTCACATTCTCGTCTCTTCTTGTCATTCGATACACGGCACTTGGGGCCAGCTTGTACCGGTCCCTGATTTCTGATTCGATAAACTTCGGGTCGAAGTTTGGTAGGCCCCTGATGACGACCTTGAACGGCTTCTCACCGGGAATGTCGTGGGTAAAGAATTCCACCTTGGAAGTCCTCAGGTGGGCGACGACCACGTCAAACTCCGTTTTGGTACGGAGCATCACTTTAGTGCCGACTCTGCCCAACTTGTATTCGGCTTTAACACCCAGCGTCGCTAGATCCGCAATGAGCACATTAAGATGGGCATTTTTCACTACCAATGGAGGTAGCTTCACTTTTGCCGTGCTCATTTCGGCAGTATTCACGGTTTCGGCAGCGTCACCGAAATCTCCAACATCGCTGTTGTTCGTCGCAGTGACATCGGACTGGCCTCGATTCTTCTTCCTCTTCTTACTGCGTTTTTCCAACACAGCTGGCTGGATATTCCCATCCATGGGGAGAACAGCAAACCTGTTCGAGGTAGGCACACCGGAGCTTCCTTCTCCGGGGTTCTGGACCTTCGCCGGGTTTCGCGACCGATGCTTCCCCATTACGGAGCACACACACACGCACGACAAACCGCGAAAGAGAGAACACGATCACTATCGCAATGAACTTTTCAAACAACTCGAGAGAGCGAGCTAACACCGAACTGAACTGCTTGACGATCAAGCAGAGAATATATGATGAGCTAATGCCATACAGCAGCGCTCTTTTATATCTTTTCAGGTTAAAGCAGAATGATGTGCAACCAAGTGGTATAAAAGCTACAAAGACTCCTCATATTATGAGTAGTTTGCTATCATGTAGCGACACTGGCTCTTTTCCTTTTGCGTACACGGCGAATGAAAACGACCGAAATTTGAGTTAAGTTCACTCATAATCGCCAAAAGTGCAGGAGCTCAGCAATGAGTAAATTTGTCTCATGGTTTCCTGTGAAAACCTAAAAAATCTACCAGAAAATGAGGAAACTGACGAAAATTTTATTCAGTCTCGGAGTAGTACCAATAGACTGAGTGAATCCAATCTTTACTTTTCTCAAATTCGGGAATTTTTCCCTGGTAAATCCTTTGAAAACATGAGGCAAATTTACTCATCGCTGAGTTCCTGCACTTTATTTCTTATTTCTGAGATAACTAAACTCAAATTTGGGTCGATCTCATTCGCCGTGATATCACCTTGAAAGATATCGGCGCCGGTGGTTAGCGTGATTACCTCTCACCCCAGCAGGCCTGGGTCCAATCTCAGTCGGCGCCACCGGCATGTTCTAAGGCATAACATCTCTGATCACGCCTTCCTTTGGGAAGTAAAGCCGTTGGTCCCCGGTTGAGTTGATGGGTCGATTGGTAGGGTCCAGGTGTGGGAGCTGCCTCCCTGGTGTCGGTAGCATTGGTGCTCAGCACGGAAAACAAATCTCGCGTCACTTTTCAATAGGTCCTATCTACATTGATCGATTCTCTTCATCGACACTCTCTTTCGTAAATGTTTCTGCCGTCTTCGTCGAATTAGATGCTAGATTGTTGCTTCTTTCATCGAAAATATCCAGCCGTGGCGATTCAAAGTTGATCAAGGTTGATCAAAATAATTTGTACCCCTGCTTCCACTTTGATTACATGAGCATTTTGTGTGATCGTTGGTTCGGAATATGGACAAACAGGCAGATGAATTCTATTCCTACTCTTTACTGTAATAAGCATGGTTGCCCTGAAAAGAGCCGTTTTGTTGCCAAAGTTGGTGATGATTTAACCTCCGAAACCAAACAGAGTGCGTCTCTGTCACTTCAAAACGTAGATGACATCCATGGCCGCTTACGCTTGGCGTGTTTAGTGTAGGTGACAGCATCACGGATCTCATTTTTCAGCACACCTCGTAAATCAGACCGGAGATACGTCAGACACCGCCACGGCGAGCCAGACGACGGATGGTGGTTATCTCGAAGAATTTGCGTTTGGTTCTGAATATGGCGATGAGTGTGCAAATATTACGCAATTCCATCCTCCCTATTCGCACGCGCCCGAGGATCAGAGGCAAATACCACTTCGACTTGTTTCGTCTACTTACTACTTAAACGAAAGAAACGAATCGTGCGGAATGAAAGCCGAGGAAAAACTAATTGCACCAATATATTCAGGCCTACAATTCCACACCTTCTATAGACAGGTTGAGCCTTGATAGCTAGCTGCTTGCGGGAACTGATGATCTTGACCAATGTCCAAATAATACTCTTTAACAAATTTTTGGTGGCCCTGAAAAGGACCGTTTTGTAGTGATGGTTGAGGAATTCTGAGCTGGGTGTTCAACACGGATGAGGCTGTCGAGCTGTATATCGTTTGAAGCGAGGGTGACACGCTTGGCATAGATGACCGACCCGCAGCGACTCACAAGGGCTACTGATTCCGATCCATAGCATAGCGGTGCAGCTTCTTCCTCCTTTGATGGTTGCTTATGTGGGCTCTGCAGTTCGCTGTTTGCAGGCAGCCTTTCGTTGTTACTGAAGAACAATTTTCAACGCCACACGCCAAAAGCACTGCTACTGCTGCTACTAATTTCGACGACCGAGCACCACCACACAGTGGTGTGGTTGTTGGGAGCGTGTGGTTCTGAGTATGGCGATGAGTGTGCAAAATATTACGCAATTCCATCCTCCCTATTGGCGTTGACGGCGACTCTGTAGCTCTTTACTCCTATGAGAAAATCCATAAGAAAACATCAGACTGTGCATGAAACATGGCGGAATTTGTACTTTCCTTTCACTCCACCGAAAATTCCCATAAGAAACTGTCTAAATTTGCTGGAAAAGCAAATTTTTCGACGGTGCCGTCAACGCCAATTCGCACGCGCCCGAGGATCTAAAGGCGAATGCCACTTCGACTTGTTTCGTCTATACTTACTACTCTCTGACGACTGTGCTGGGGAAGCACCATATGCATGTAGGTAATTGGTGGATTTGTTAGTTAATTCGACGCTTTTGGACAATGCTGGACATTTACCAGTTTTTCAATAGTTTCTTGTTGAAAATCAACATTTGAAAGCATTGTTATCGATGCGTAGCCATATTTTTGATCGATTGGTGATAAAATTATTGAAATTGGACCAGGGGCAGCTGAGTTATTAACGTTCATAATCTTTCTTAATTTGTTACATGTTCAATTTTCAGTTTTCACAAAGTGTTACACCCATATAGAAATCAAAGACGTAGTCCTACGTAAAAAAAAAAACAAAGTCCCACCGAGGGGTGCTAATAAGGTGATTTTTTCTAATGTAATCGCACTAAATTAAAATAGTTCCAGTGTACCAATATTGATGGAATATTGGATTTCGGTTTAATTTTTAATGCATATTACGATTATGTATTTACCTCAAATCCCTTAATAAACCCAATTATTGAAAATTATTGATTTTCTCTCTTCTCCCATACTGAATTTCAACCATGCCTACGCCATGTCTGGGAATATTCTTTATGGGCCTCACTTAATTGTGTGTACTTAATAGTTCCGATACTTTATTTATGGTTTTGATTGCAGATTGCACTTGCTAGATTTGCGTGTTCAGCAGTGTCAAGCAAAATTTTAAATTTTGTCTCTCATAATTCACAAACTTCACATTGTTCGCTAAGGGTAATTAACCAAGCTTGTGCTGGAATTCGGCCATTTTGACTCACACCTGGCGTATTCGATATTTTCAATAAATCATAGCACGTACACAGCAAAAAAATAATTTTGATATCACATCAAAGTGGATACACTCAATCGTGTCAAAAATATGGTGTAATATTACGCTGCTTTCACTGCATTTTTTTTTATTTTTTTTGGCCATAAAAATTACATGAGTTTTTCGACATGATTGAAGTGCATCCTCTTGGATGTAATATTGAAATTTATTTTTTGGGGTGTAGCTTTTTTTTTACGTAAAGACAATTTAGTTTCTTACAACTTTGTCTCAGACGTCATTTCGGTTTGATGAGCCGTTTTCATGCTATGATAAATTGAAAAATTTCGAACACGCCATTTTTTAAAATGACCGAATTACGGCATACATTTGGTTTATTTCCTCTGGTGAAAAATGATGTGAAGTTTCATGAATTTTGGAAGGAAATATAACATTGATTAGTAATTGGCGTGGAACTGCTCTGCTATTACTTAACTCAATAACATTCAAAGTACTAATATATTTATAAGGCAAATATGGAATATTATGCCCCAAGCCAACGGCAACAAACAATTAGACATTTCATGATGAGACCATCACAATCACCATCTGTTGTTTGTTGCTACAACACGACATTGGTGTCACCGCCCAAACATCCGAAAACCAGAAAAAAACACAAATATAAAAACTCTTTGATCTTAATCGTCTGGTACCACATCTTATTACCGCATATCATTTATGTGTACATGTTTGCATGATCATCGGAGTATGTACTTAGTGAACTTAACATTTTGGTTGTTTGTTTCAGCGTGAAGTTATCCAACTGCACGTGGGCCAGGCCGGCGTACAAATTGCGAGTGCGTGCTGGGAGCTGTACTGCCTGGAACATGGCATCTATCCGGATGGACGCTTTTGCGACTGCACGATCTACGATGACTGTAGTGCTTTTTTTAGCTGCGACAAAATGGGCCGTTGCGTACCGCGGGTAGTGATGGTGGACCTGGAGCCGTCGGTAATTGACGAAATTCGAATCGGAGCCTACAGGCATCTCTTTCATCCGAGTACGCTGATCACGGGCAAGGAAGATGCTTCGAACAATTTTGCGCGCGGTCATTTTACGCTGGGCCGAATGATGATCGACGCCGTGATGGACCGAGTGCGGAAGGTTGCCGAGGGGTGCTCCACGGTACAGGGGTTTATGATCTTTAACAGCTTAGGCGGCGGGACGGGGAGTGGGTTCGGTACGTTGGCACTAGAAAAATTACTTGACGATTACGGCAAAACGACCAAAATAGAATTCAACATCTTTCCATCGCCGAGGATTTCGCCGGTAATTGTGGAGCCCTACAACGCAGTTCTTTCTACGCATGTTGGGATGGAATATAGAGATTGTTCGTTTTTGCTCGATAACGAAGCTATTTATGACGTATGTGATAGAAGTTTGAACGTGCCAGATCCTACGTATACGAATTTGAACAGATTAATTGCGCAAATTGTTTCCTGCATTACTTCATCGCTTCGATTTACGGGTGCCATCAACGTGGATTTGCTTGAATTTCAAACGAACCTGGTTCCATTCCCGAGAATTCACTATCCCCTGGTAACCTACTCCCCGTTGATTCCGTTCCGGAATGCCAAACACGAACAGTTGACCACCTCGCAAATCACTTCTGAATGTTTCGAACCGGCCAATCAACTGGTCAAGTGTGACCCCCGAACCGGAAAGTACATGTCATGCTGTATGCTGTACCGAGGGGATGTTTCTCCCGTCGACATAAATCGTTCGATCCAGGAGCTGAAGTCGAAGCAGACAATACATTTTGTGGATTGGTGTCCCACGGGGTTCAAAATTGGCATAAACTACCAGCCTCCGATTGCCGTTCCGGGAGGAGACCTGGCCAAGGTGGATCGCGCTGTCTGCATGCTTTCCGGCAATACGGCCGTTCGATCCGCTTGGGAACGAATCAGTCGTAAGTTTGAACAAATGTTCGAGAGGAAGGCATTTTTCCATCATTTTTTGGACGAAGGTTGGTACATTTGGTTGATTCGATTTGAATGGAAAAAAAATGGCTAAAATTGATCTTATTTCAGGTTTGGAAGAAAGTGACCTGTCCGATGCCAAGGAAAACATATCGACTCTCATATGCGACTACGAAGAGGTCGAGAAATAGCAACCGGAGATTGACTGGAATACTTTACGGGAAATTATCGTCATCGTTGTATGCAGAAATAATGCATTTATTACATGCTACGTGAATCGAGAAAAAGCTTTCCACAGAAAGTTGACTGATTTGGTCAGTTCAACAAAAATTAAAGCATTTGTACTATTTTTTTAGATTTGTGACCAAACTTCAGTATTTTGATTTGGGGTTACTTTAATAATGCTCGATGAATGTAGAAAAAAAAACTGGTGAAACTCAAACAATTTAGTTCTTTAAATATGAAACTTTGAATGAGTATATAATCAGGATACTTCATAAGCAATAAGAATACAACATTGCATTTGTGATGGCTGTATCGGAAATACATTTCATAAGTGATAGTTTGAGTGCTTTTTCAAAAAGGCGAAAAACACGAAAATGGTTTATTAATATTTTTGTAAAATATGTAACACATACTATATAAAAACTATATACCATATCAACGGAAATACCCTAAGCTACAATATGGAACCAATGTTTCTTATTTGGAAAAAGCACAGCGAGTAAATTTATTCTTTATATTATACTATCAAAGTTACCCACATTATCAAAGATACCCCGTTTTACGGTACTTGTTTTGTTATCAACAGGAAAAATTGATATCAAACTGAGTTTTCAGTTTGCTCTCACTGATAGAAGAAATAGTTTACAATGTGATGTCACAGGAAGATTTTTTTGCTCTCAATTTTGATATTTTAACCGTTAAAACGACCAAAACGACAGCACCCTGTGTAATCATTATCAGCGAAATAACAACATCAAATTTAGATTTCAATTTGATCTCAGACTTTGATCCACCAAGCCCGTTAACTACCTGATAATCGCCATTTTTGCGATATAAGATAAATATAGGGTTAACGAACTTTATATCAGTCGTACATCAGCCTTATATTGCAAAAAGGGTGATTAGGTTTGTTGGTTACTTGGGCTGGGTATATGAAGAAATTTCCATCTCTTAGGAATTCAGCTGCTAGAGTGATAATTCTTGACAATATAGCTAAATCACCAATGCAAGGGTCTTCACTACAGTGAATGTACAAATTTAACATTAGCATTAGCATTAGCATTAGCATAAGCATTAGCATTAGCATTAGCATCGAACAAGTTGCACAATATCGTAGGTGGTACGAATTCAAAACTATTAAGAGCAAGACGGATATCTGTAACTGGACAGATAGTAAGTAGGAAATAATTACTATCTCCCAGATAAAGACATATCCCGCTCCAACAGTTAAGGATTGTGCTGGCCACGTCCTTACAACTGGTAGGGATAGGAAAGGTATGTTAGGCCTACATTTACTTAAGAAAGATGCAGAGAACTCTACGACCCCTCATAAATGTCTCGGGAATTTAGGAATTATGTTTGTAGGGAAGGTAAGCCATAGGATACACCCAGTCAGTGTTGCTGGCATATGTAGATTTTTTTTTATAAATGTTGAATTTGCTGTCTGCTGGAATAAAATGAAGATATAACATGGTGAACTCATCATCGTTGTCACATCCGTAGCTGAATAATAGGAAGGAATTATGATGTGTTGTGTATATTTTTTTTATTGATAGAGGGTAAAACCCGCGGCAGTGAAAATAATTTACCTACCTATTCTCCCGTAGGTACAAAACCTCTATGTCTTTTCAACAATAAATCATTTTTCAAGTGGAAGCAATAAAGTTAACAGATTCAAGATGATAGATGACATGTACGATACATGGCATGGCAGAACTCCCGCTGAGGTGTCTTCAAGGTTCCGTAGCGATCGGCAGTAATATGAAAGATACAAATTATACTGCAACAAATTTGCTAATATTTGCATGCTTCTACAATAGTGTAACTTTCAAACCAACAAAACCAAGTGGATAAATAGGCATGAAGGCTCGATCGCTGTCCTAAAATAAGGGTGTTAATGTTCTGTAAAAATGAAATAAAATGGTCAACCGATTTCGAATTCAATTTGGTCGATGTAGTGTTGAACGGTAGAGGATATTGAGGAGAAATTATTTAGTTATACTGCGTAAAAAAATAATAAAAATAAATCCAAAAGATAACATAAGTATAAGCATTAATCAATATCATAATAAACATAATTAAAAAGTATGCAAACACTAAAAAACAGTGTAACCATGATTGATGTTTTGTTTATGTGGAGTCAATGTGAGAGTGAATGATTGTGATGATTTCAAAATGCTATTTAACAACTTATTTTAACGATGCCGTTGGATTTGATATTAAATAAGGTTTTATGTGATGTGAGATGGATTGCAATCATGTGCAGAGAAAAAAATCACCTAGAAAAGATGGTGATACTTAAACATAAATAATTTTGCTAATATTAATATGTAAGTTCCTATTCTGCCGCTATTTGCATAACAGTCTCATGTCAATTTTTATCAAATTTGTTTTTTTTTCGCGTGAATAAGCTTAACTTTACCTGTAGTGGAAGAAGAACTGATAAAATAGTACACTTTTTTCCCGAAATAAACAAAAACAAACCCCACTTGTTTTGAACCATGTTGAAAAAATTCGCATAACAGTCACACTTATGTTTGCTCGATATGCTGTGAAAAAATAAGTTGGAATAAAGGCTTTTTTCATCAAATTATCCTATCTTATCACAGTTAGAGACCTTGAACTCGTGTCGTTACGTATTTTGATTCGTTTCATTGGGTGTACAAATGAAATGAATAATGTGGGAGGAGACATACTAGGTGACAATTGTCACCTCACCGGTGACTGAGAGACAAGACTCGAAAAATAAGTCTGAGTGTGATGCTATTTTTAGAAAGTGGAAATTAATACAAATAGCATTTAAAACAAAGCATGTTAAACTTAAATTTAATTTTATTTCGAAGAATTTCTGTATGTGATTCGAAGTTAACAACAGCGTTCAGTTATGTTCCCTTCCGTTCAGGGAGATTAATCAAAAATTGCTTTTGGTCATCTTTAATGACGGGCAAAATTACATTCAGCAGCGCCTGCATGCGATTAGTACATATGCCGACCGGATCAGTTCGACGTGTAAGGATGCTTTCAATAACAAAATCACTATCAGTGACCGTCTTCATCTGTTTCTTAGAAAGGATGCAGCAAGTTCTCATTTCTTCGCTGTCATCCACTGAGCTGCTGTAGTTCATCTCGTAACTGCCTTTCTTTAGAATGATTTTCCTTATGCTCTCTATATACGGGCGTGGTTTACAGTGATTCAATGTGTACTGAGAAACTGTCAACTTCATCTCGAAGAAATCGTTAGCTGCCATATCCATCGTAAGAACATTCTTCTTCGCTTTCTGGACCACATCGCTAAACTCTGGGAACGTTGATGTAGGTGGCCCGTGACGCATGGCTTTCTCGACAGCCGCGTGAAAACTGTCGGCTGCCATAAACGTATGGCCAGACTCGAAAAACTTGAGCAGAACTTCCTTCACTTTAGTTTCCTTCGTATTGAGCAAGAGAATTAAATAAAGGAATAAATTCCAATTCTTGTTCTGGCTGGAGCAGTTGTCCAACCAGAACGTAACCTTTTCCATTCCGTTACACCACATCATAACTTTGTTAAAACAACTCGTTATGTCACCCGCGGACCTCCAAGAGGTAGACTCGTCCCAGACACACGGAATAACCGGAAATTCCTTGGCTGGTGCGAATGTTTCATTAAAAGCCAGCACACGCTGAGTGAATACAATGGACTTCAAACCTTCCAGACGAGGAAGTTGGATGACCTGTGATAAGAAAACAAATGTTAAAAGATTAAAAATTTGTATAATTTTCTTTATAAAAAATCACGTTTTAGAGGTTCACAGCAAATACGATCTCTTTAGGCTGGATTTCGTCTCCATCACTTCGATAAACTGATCGTGAAAGTGTTACCAACCGTAAATGTTTAATATGCGACTTACAAGCAGAACATACAGTGATGAAACGATCTTCTTCCTCGTGTCCATGTGAACTCTGATGTAATGCCGCAGTAACACAAACCTCACATTGCTCGTGACCGAGTTTTACGAGTGAAATGTTCATTCGCGACATTACTTTAGAATAAAACGAGTAGTTAACTTTTAAGGCAGGGTTAACTGAATCTTGGTAGCTATGATGCATCGAAACCTGTGTTAGGTCAGATGGAAGGTAGTAACGATTCGGTGCGTGTGCTCGTCGGTAGTGTGACACAGTCGGGTTGTAAGAAAGGATGTGCGATTTCACATCTTCCTGTTTGGCTTGACATCTTTTATATTTTCCACGCTTAGTAGGTTTCGGATTCCCCTCGTAATCGCTGTCGACACATCGATATATAATGTTTCTGAAATTGAACAATTTAATTAATATGTATAATTTAAACAGGTCAATACAATACTATTTACCCGCAGTTGTCTCCATAGCCAATAGTATTCAAAAAGAATTTTCGACAAACACGCACATCAGCTCCATTCATCAAACGGAGGGAGAAAATATAGTCGAATCTTTTTTTTTGGATCGTTCGCTGTGGTTCGGTTCTTGTGTCGAAGTGGCACTGGGCTTCGGTGTACATTTTCCCTGATGTAAAGGATTTGATTGGTTTTATCCAGCTTCCAGAACTGGTCATGAACATTGAGCCGCTCGTCCTTTGATACAATCTGGTCACAATTTCTCCGGCATCCACATTTTGCAATAAGAAATTTGTGAGCCAGGTGGCGATTTTTCACATTACTTGCATTCTGTATTTCTTTTTTGGTTCGTTTTCTGTTCTCAATTTCAAAAAAACTTCCGTCGGAATCCTCCAACTCTTCCTCTTCGCTGTTTGAAGTATGCTTTGTGTTCTCCATAGTGTATTTATCGAGTTTTTGAATTCCGTCTGCGCCATATTTGTCCAAAAGAAACGTTTTAAATGATGAAGGATCACCGGCTGGTTCAACATCAAATCCGATGAATTCATCGTCATAAGTTTCCGTCTCACTACCGTATGCTTGCAATAATTGCAATGCAGACATTTTAAAAGTGTTACACTACTGTAAACGCA